AGGGTCGGGGACACGGACACGAGGGGGTTAAAGACTTGGGGAGGGTCGGGGACACGGACACGAGGGGGTTAAAGACTTGGGGAGGGTCGGGGACATGGCGGGTTAAAGCCTTGGGGACACGGGAGGGTTAAAACTTTGGGGACAATCAGGTACATGGAGGGGTTAAAACCCTAGGGACACGGTGGGGACAGTCAGGGACACGCTGGGGTTAAAAGCTTAGGGACACAGTGGGGTTAAAGCTTTGGGGACACAGTGGGGTTAAAGCTTTGGGGACACTGGGGTTAAAACCTTGGGGACAAAGCCTTGGGGACAGTCACTGTGGGATTAAAACCTTGGGGACACAGTGGGGTGAAACCTTTGGGGACAGTTGGGGACACTGGGGTAAAAACCTTGGGGACAAAGCCTTGGGGACAGTCACAGTGGGATTAAAACCTTGGGGACACAATTGGGTGAAACCTTTGGGGACAGCTGGGGACACTGGGGTTAAAGCCTTGGGGACAGTCAGGGACACAGCTGGGTTAAAGGTTTGGGGACAAAACCTTGGGGACAGTCACTGTGGGATTAAACCTTTGGGGACACAATTGGGTGAAACCTTTGGGGACAGCTGGGGACACTGGGGTTAAAGCCTTGGGGACAGCTAGGGACATGGCTGGGGACAAAGCCTTGGGGACATTGGGGTTAAAACCTTGGGGACAAAGCCTTGGGGGCAGTGACTATGGGATTAAACCTTTGGGGACAGCTGGGGACAGAGTGGGGTTAAAACCTTGGGACACAAGAGGGTCAGTGGGACAAATCCATGGGGACAGGACCCTGGGGACATTTGGGGACACGGTGGGGTTAAAGCTTTGGGGACAGTGGGGTTAAAGCCTTGGGGACACGCTGGGGTCAGTGGGACAAATCCCTGGGGACACAACCTTGGGGACAGTGACTATGGGATTAAAGTTTTGGGGACACAATTGGGTGAAACCTTTGGGGACAGTTGGGATCACAGTGGGGTTAAAACCTTGGGACACAAGAGGGTCAGTGGGACAAATCCCTGGGGGCACGACCCTGGGGACAAAATCTTGGGGACACGACCCTGGGGCTGGTGCCCCTCGGAGGGGACAGCGGA